CTGCACTGAAGAATACCATTCGATCACTGCCCTTAAAATTGTTCTGTGCAGCAAAGACACAGCAATCTTCTCAGGATTCCTACCTGGCCACTGTCCTCAGCCCTTTGAACATGATTTTTCTTCCTTAAGGAAACTATCTTTCAGTAACAAGATAAACAATTCAAATGAATATTGGGACTTAATAAAATTGGAATACAAACTATCCATTTCTACCAATTCCACAGAATCTGTGGAGAAGAAAAATGTCTAATGAGAGTAGAAGTTAAAACAATACCCTGTATTCCCCCTCTTCCCCTCCCAACCTCACCAACTTTTAAACTACCTTTGAATGTCGCCATAAAACCCCGGCCCTTTCATTCAGGGCCTGTTTCACCAATTTTAATCATGAGGAGGGCCATGGAGGATCCCATGTCTTGGGCACAGGGCACACCCAGCAGCTGTGCAAGGCCTCACTCTTGCATCTGGAGTTAGAACGAGCAGGCAAGCTGTATTGTCCTCCTGAGAACTGCCTTTCTGCATCCACCTTTAGCTCCAAGCAGTACCTAAACTGTAATTTCCAAAAGCAATCTTGTGACCATTTTGCACAGCTACAAAGACTGGGTGCAGTGGTTCTCATGTAATCTCTTAAAAACATGGACCAGTTTTTTAAAATTAATGATTATTCTTAGTTACTTACAGATGGCTATTCAGGTGGCATCCATCTAGGCTCCCTACTTCTCCCCCGCCAATACCCACTGAAAGGCACTTCCCTTATTCGAAGCATTTTCACAGAAACAGAAAAGCAGAAATCTGACTAGCAGTTGACTTAAGTGTTGAATGACTGAGGTATTGAGACTGATGGCCCAGGTTATCCCAGGTTTCTAATGAGAGTAAGTCATGAATTCTAAAACATCCTTGTTTTCATTTTTCATACCATCCCTGAAACAAGGATGCTTCATAAAACTAATGATAATCCCAGGGTGACAGTTTTTTCTTTCTTTCTTGGTGGTTCAAAAAATAATGGTGCATCTTGAAAATGGACAGCATCTTAAAGAAAATGGTGTCTATGCCAAAGGTTAGTTTAACTGTGTTATGAAGTGCAAATAAGAAATTCCTAAAACAATAGGAGCAGTGGAGACATTGGCTGCCACATCTCAAGGGCCACAGCTCAGATCTACTAATTGCTGCCAGGTGAGAATGTAGTGCCAGTGAAGTCAGAGTTTTACCATTTTCTGTGAAAATCCCCAAGCTTTAAAACACTATGGAGACCATTCTAATAAACAGGGCTCCTGGTCAGTTCTGACTAGAAACCATGAGTTTATAACCCCTACTGTACATCTTCATCTTACGATACCCTGAATAATCTGGCTATGAAGACCTTTCAAAATCCCTGAAAGAGAGGAACCACGTTCAAAACTAACGCTGTGTAATCAACAGAACTGGGTTCACATCCTAGCTCCATAACTTACTCACTGTGTGTCCTTAGGCAGGTCACTTAGCCTCTCTGAGCCTTCATTCCTCATCTGAAAATCACAGCATAGCTCACAGGGTTCGGATGAGGATTACATGAGATAGAAGTACCTAAAGGCTTCTCCCAGTGCTAGGTACAGAGAAAGCATATGAAACATCAGCTGTCTATCCTTGTTTGTATAAAATAAGGAAGAAGGTGTCAAAGTACCATAACATGTAAGCTTGGCCTTCATATCTATGCCATTTGCCTCATTCTAACCACCAGAAAAAAATTAATGCCACAATTTAGGAGAAAGCTGTCATTCAAACTCTAGTATTTCGCCCAGTGGAAAATCTTTTCAATAAAGGATACCTTTCTAACATGCAATAAAAGATTTCAGAAGGTTAATAGTAATATTCCCGAGTAAACAGTGCCAAAGTGTGCTACAGAGTGCCAAAAAAAAAAAAAAAAAACAAATAAAAACAAAAAGCAAAACAAAAAACTGCCAAGGAACCAAGCCAAACGCAGAAACTAGTCCAGACTGTTCCAATTCCAAACTAAATCTGATCCTGGGCCCTGAATCAGAAGTTTTGCTAATTCACTAATCCCTCCCACACTAAAAGGCCTTCAGCTGATAGCAATTTCAAATTTGGTTACCTGAGCTGACCTGACTTAAATCAGGGTGACTGTGAACTGTAACTCACCCAAGGAAACTCAGCCAAAAAGACAACGAACAGTAAGTAGTACATGCACCCACAGAAGCCCACATTCAACTCCTTTTATTCTGCTCTCAGGACAGATCCAGAAACCATGTCCTCTGTCCTGGCATCCTGCTCTTTTCTAGGCTAATGCAATGCCTCACCACCAGCAGTACTTACAGCTACAAAGTCTTTTTGAGATGGGCTCTAAGTGCATTCCAAACATACAATGCTTTTCATCAACCTTCAATGGAAAGACAAACTTGCTTTTAAGAAATTTGCTAGGTATGGATGCCTGTTTTGCTAAGGGGTTGGTTTATGAGGTGACGTTTGCCTCTTTGGTCGGGCATTCTACTTCAAGAGCCTGTTAAAATCTTCAGTTTTCTTACACAAACTAATTCAGGGAGACAAAGCAAGCTGGGCAAATTCAACAATTTCTTGTTAATATTCTACGAAGGCATTCCCTGATTTTCCGATGGGCAACCTGACAGCCTGAAGCCTACCATAAAAAGCAAGTACCATAGAAACGTGAAATCATTGAAACAGCCCTGCCTTATTTTTTCACTGGTAGAAGCCGCTGAAAAAGGAAGACAGATGTGACTTCTCTTTTGTAATACAACGTGTGTGGAACTGAGCAGTACCAGCAACATAGCCATCACTCAATCAATAAACTCCCCATACATCCCAAATACCCGTCTAGCAACAAGCAGGAGTGAACCCAGTCATTCACACACCCTGTTTATATTCCATCCCCCACTCACACACAAGACACCAGTTAAAATCAGTATTAACTCATTTAGACAAAAGTGGCAGGATGCACTCTAGGTAGATTCGGACACTAGCTGTAAATGTATACAAAGCACAAACAACAGGGACATGCACGTGATTCATTCATCGGGTTGAATTTCTCAAAACACTCAGGATATCTTTTTCAGGGAACTTTTAAAAATAATCATGTTTTTTTTTTTTTAAAGCGTTAAGATTAAACGTGGCTGGCTTCATTCCCAAAGCCTCAAGCCCTTTGTTTAGGAATGTCTGTTATCTTAACACCTTTGCAAAAAGCTCACCGCCTGCCCTCTACTGCCAATGAAATGGAGAAGTAGCGAATGAAAGAGAAAGCTAATCAAAGGGTTTTTTTTTTTTTAAAGCGTTAAGATTAAACGTGGCTGGCTTCATTCCCAAAGCCTCAAGCCCTTTGTTTAGGAATGTCTGTTATCTTAACACCTTTGCAAAAAGCTCACCGCCTGCCCTCTACTGCCAATGAAATGGAGAAGTAGCGAATGAAAGAGAAAGCTAATCAAAGGGGAAAGAAGTCAGGGAAAGGAGAACCCCTGGGTAAATGAAACAATGCTACTTTTCACCCATCCCCAAGTAACTGCACAAAAAAGGGAAATTACTCAAGCACAGAAGGGCAAAATAATCGAAAATGCAAATCACATCATTTGCATTGTGATTATTCTTTCATAAAATACCAGGGCAAGCTTTACTTGGCACCGTTAAGGAAAAAAGTCAAGCCCCGAACACCCTCTCCACCCCAAGATACCTATTTGATTACACTTATATCGCGCGTACACACACACACACAGTAGGAAAGCTGGTGAGAGAGAAGCCATAACGTGGGCATGTCTCAGAGTCTCAGATAATAGCGTCTCCATACCCTACCCTCAGTCACCAGAGGAAGATGGGACCTCAGAAAACAAACAATGGGAAGAAAGAGAAACCCAGAAATCCTTGAATTTCCAGGCATCGACTTTTTATGAAATGCACGACCAGGATAGGAAATACCTCCCTGCTGAGTAATGCTTCATGGGTTGTAAATTCACCTCTCGAAAGGGGAGCCAGACCTGGGCGCGAACCCCGCCAGATGGCAAACCCCTCCTACCTGCTCCAGCCAGCCAGCCGGTCACGCCGCGCCAGGCCTCCCCCTTCCCGCCCCGCTTTAGCCGAGCAACATACCAACAAGCGCCGAGAGAGGCTGGTGGAGAAAGGGCTAAGCAGCTAAAGCAGGATCATTTCCTAAGGGGGGCTGAGAAACCGCGAGGAGTGCGGACAAAAACAAAGCTCATTACAGTCGAACCGACAGCCTTGGGGGCGTGGCTTGCTTAATTTACTTTATTAATAAAAGGGGTCAATTGAGCTTCTGTCTCTCCACCCACCCCGAAGATGCTGGCCTTCGAATCCTTGGGAGGAAAAATATGGCAGGGCTGCAAGCTCCCTGTAAGTTTCCAGCAGCACCTGCCACTATGCCAGACCTGCTCCCTTACCAAAGACCCCGAAATACACACTCCAGGCCTTAGACTCCGCAAGACAGAGGGACAGACACACAGAGCTCCGAGCGGTTCCCCCAGTTCACCGTGATAAGCACACACTCTTCAGAGCACTTGCTGACACAACCAGTAGAAAGTTCCAGGGAGAAACAATCCAGGTTCCTCCCGGGCCCCAGGCTCCCCCACACCGCGCGGGTCTCACCCGAGACCCAGACACCCGGGGCCCCCGGGCCGCAGGGGCGAGGGGCGGAAAGTTGCCCAACAGCCCCGGGAAACGCGGCTGCGAGAGGGAGAACACGCGGGCAGAGGCACGCGCGCCCTCCGCCCGCCCACCCCCAGGCGCGAGCAGCGTGCACCCCGGGCTCCAAGGACCTCGCGCAGCTTTATTTACAAACAATGCGCTGGGGTACGGGGTGCAGGAGCCCAGCGGAAGAGCCCGAGCACCTACCCCAGCAGGGACCCCACTCTGGGGCGCTCCCGCGTTTGGGGTTCCCCTGCAGGCGCGGGGGAAGCGCACCCCGGGGGGTCGCCCCAGTTCCCACCCCTGCGGGAGCGAGGCAGGCACTCCCCGGGGCGTCCGGGCGGGAAGGAGGCGGCGCCGCTCACCTCGTCTTCCGAAAGTCCGTAAACCGGCTCCCCGAGCCCGGTCGCCATGGAGCCGGCGCCCCGCGTGGGGCCGGAGGCACTCCCGGGCGGCTGGGCTGCGGCACGGGCGGCCGAGTCCTCACTGCTCCGGGTCTGGCTGGCCCCGCGCCCGGCCCTGTGCGCGTCCCGCCGAGGGGGGCCGGGGGCCGGCAGGTGAGGGGGCCCGAGAGCGAGTCGGGGCCGCTGCCGGCGCAGCTTCCTCCGGAAAGGCTGCGGGGCCGCACGGGCCGGCGGTCCCGGGAGCACGCCGTGCAGCGGGCGGCCGCCCCGGCGCCTCTCTCTACGCGCGGAGGCGGCGCACAGCCCGCCGGGCTTTCCCTCCCTCCCCGCCCCTCTCGGAACCGGCTCTCGGATCGCGGCAACCCGGCTCCCCCGCCCCCTGCTCGCTCCCGGCCGGCCCCCGCTCTCTCCGCCCCTCCTCCGCCTCCTCCCACCCGGCGCCCAGAGGGACCCTCCCTCCTCGCCGGGGCGGGCACACGCGCCCCCCAAGCCAATCGCAGGCCGGGCGGGGGGGGCGGGGTGCTGCCCCCAAGCCCACCCACCACCCCCACCACCACCCCCGAGCCCGCGGAGGTGCTGTCCTGGGCTCACCCGGTAGGCGGGCGGGTTTGCGGAGCAGAACCCCAGCGGGCTTGGCCTTCGGAGCTGACCCACCCCCCTCTCCAGCTTTCCCTCTGCTTTGGGGAGGGGGCCGGCTGGACATTTAGGAACACTGGAGGCATTTTCAAAAAAAAAGCATCACTCATTCCATTCCTCTTCTTTATGGTCTTTTTGCCAAGAGCCCCGGAGCTCGCCTTAATTGTTAAAGGGAGAAATACGGATGTTCCGAAACCCCTTTAAATTCTTGGCAACCCTAAGCAAGCCAGACTTGGCTAACACTGTCAGCTCCCCGGAGCCGATCTGCCTGGCCCGGCCTCCAGCAGGGGAGAGGCTGCCCCGGTGTGGCCGCGGGGAGCCACTTGCCTGTGTCAACCTCACAGAGAACAAAACCAGCACAGCGCCCGCTCTGAGTACACACCCACCCACTCGGAAACGGACAGCGTGATTCTCTGAATAAAAGGCAGCTCATTTGTGAGCCGCAACATGAAATATCAAATTCAAGTTTAAGGTTATCCTCTGCATATGCAACCCATTAACACGTCTTATTAGCCACCGTAGGATTCTTCCCACATAGCAGCTACTGTTTATCTAGCAAGCAGTTCATTTAATCCTTCAGATTTACGGGAATGCCAGAGACTACTTGAAGGGAAAGAAATTCGTTACTTTTTCAGGAAGGCTGTCCTTAAATTTAGATGTTAAGTGCAGTTGTGAGTTTAAAAAGAAAACAGAAGCAGAACATGTCATTTGCCTTTGAAAAGAAAACATCAAAGTGCCTGCCTGGGTATTAATAGGGTGCTTTTAGGGGATTTTCATTTCAGTTGTTTAAGAAAGGAGAACTCAGCGTTTTCCAAGAGAATCTTCATGCCCATTCCCAGCTGCTTTACTAAATATCTGCTGTATACCCTGCTACATGGCTTTGGAAAAGAAAAGGGGGCACACCCATCCTAATTTAAACTCTCCTTTGCTTATGACATTACTGTGATTTAAAACGTGTAGCATAGGTATAAAAGGGTTCCTTTCAAGACTTGGTCTCATGGAGTCAACACCCTACTTCAAAGCCTTCTCTACAAATCCTTAGCTATTAAATCAACAGTACTTAGATGCCACAAAAGCCCAACTGAGAAAAAACTCTCATCTTTATGGAGGAGCTTTTAAAAAGACAGGCACTCTTTCCAGGCTAAAGTTTTTCAACCTTTTCAAACCTAAATTCTTTTTATTTTTGATAAAAAATCCTCTCTCTCTCTGTCTCTCTCCCTCACACACACACACACACATCCACACACCAATTCTAATATGCCCTTCACCATGCCTGTGACTCCTAGAGTCACTACTTCCTTAATTCTACCAGCCAGGCCTTTGTCAAGCTTTGTGGATTCTTTATTATGGGGGAAAAGTGATCGACTTTTAAGTTTTCTAATAGAAAATTATAACTTCTAATTACATAGAACTCCCCTCCTCCATCCTGGAGGTGCACGATCCAGGCTTTATCTAAGGTAAGGCCGTATCTTCTGGAAACTGCAGGTGTGTCACACTTCCTGTCTCCTTCGTTCCTGCTCCCACACCTCCACCTAACAGCCTGCGCCCGACTGCACTCTGGGGTCCTGTCCTTGGCTTTCCCTGAGAGATGATTATTAGAAACCACAATATGAAACTTGCCAAAGTCATTTACTGTAGGGGTGTTTGTAAAATCATTATTCATAACATCATTCAATGGTCCCTATAAGAGGACTCAAGACTTTTAAAAAGGCTTTCTTTCTTCCAAGGAACTGGTAAGCTTTTGTGTTATGAATGACAATAATTATTTCAACCGATTGTTTTTCTATTTACTTTGGTCACCAGGAAACCCAGCACAAATTTTAAGCCATAAAAGAACCCATAAAAACAAAATCAGTTTCCTTTGTAATTACGTGCCTGCTTTGCCCCAACGCTGTGGTTCTCTATCCTGTATGCAAATTGTTATTATCTGGGGAGCTTTGAAACAACGCATGGCCAGCAGTCAGCACAGGAGATTATAGTTTCATTGGTTCAGGGTCGGAGCACAGGCATCCATAGTTTCAATGGCCTCCCAGGTGATGTTAATGTGCATGTATGGTTGAGAATGACAGCCTTGGCCAGTGGTTCCCAAAGTTTGCTGCACGTAGGAACACCTGGGAATCTTTAAAACTACTGTTCTCTATCAAGCTCCCCTGTTCACTGATTTAATTGGGGTGGGGGGCACGTGGACATCAGGACTTTCAGAAGCTCCCCAGATGATTCTAATGCAGAGCTCCCCAACCTGCACTTACATTCCTATTTTTTACATATTTTCCATGATCTTGATTAATATATTTGTTTATGTTTCAGTTTACAGGAAATGACATATTATAAAAATACTCACATCCTTTGTGGAATGATGTAGGATGTAAACAAATATACTTAAAGTGACTAGTATCATCCATCACTTATACCCACCCCCACCCCTCTGAACTCTCAGATTAGTAATCCAGTTTCCTTGGGGGTAGGGGTGGTTCTGGGAGGACAGCTCTTAAAAGGAACTTTTCAGCAGTCTGATCCAAAGCAATTCCTTGTTTCATCCTCCAATCAATTTCACATATACCCCACAATTACATAGAACCTAACTTGTAGATTGTTCTCTGGAAGCTGTTCCATGCTGTTCCCTTTGGAGGCTGCCTTTAACATCTAAGATTTGGGTGTTTGGTAAATGCTCTTCATCAGATCATCAGAAATGAAAAATCAGCGAGAACAATTTTCAAGCACACTGGGGTGATCACAAGGAACGTTTTAATGCTAAGCCTCTTTACAAATTATTAAGTCAGCTTAGCAAACTATGCATATCTTAATCAAATCTGTGAAGTACCTAAAGCTGAACACATAGTGTCACATTTGCATACATTTCTTCTAAGTAACACTAGATTTTTCTCTTCCATTTTTGGTGACCTGTGTTCTTTAAAAAGAAAGCCCATGAAACAGACTTTTTGAAGATGGCTGTGTACCTGCAAAAACTGGTGTCATCTTGGAACTTGGCAGAATTCATTGACACATAGAGAAATCTCACAAATTTAAGGTGTTTATGATTATGTAAGGAAAAAACCATGCTTCAAACTTTGGGCAAGTATAGAGGTGGGTAGCAAAGAATGACTGTAAATAGCTTATCTTTTTGTATAAAAATAGCTAAGCTTTTTAAGAAACACATTTTGAACACCTATGTGCTATTCATTCTAACACTCTAAAAAGAAATTATCTGAGATATAGACATATGATACCTATTCTTTCCCATTCTGACAAATTACCTGCCTTTTAACTGACTGTATTAGCTATTTCCATTTTTTAATCATTAATATTTCTAACATATCTGGATTGGCTTCTACATTTTCACTGTATTTTCTTACTTTTAAATGAGCTTTTATGGAGTTGTGCTGCTGTTTTCATTGTTTTCATATGTTTTTTTCCGTCTCCGGGTGGGGATGTTAATCACTGCATTTCTGTCCTGTTACTTTGACATTTTACATGAACGTCTAACTTCACAAATCAAAAGTTAATACCTTAAGCCCCTATCTGTACAATACTTATGTTATACAGTTGTTTTAGCTTTACCAATACATTTTGTGGTTTCATCTGTAAGGATTCCTTATTACTTCTTAGACATTCCTTTGGGAATTTTCCTTCCTCCTGAGGGGCATACGTTAACATTCCTTTAGTAAAGGCCCATTGGTGGTAAACTCTCAGCTTCTATTTATCTGAAAATGTGTACTATCATCTGTGTAGGATAGTGAAAATTTGATTTTAGAAGCAAACTCAAAGCCATTGTGGAATGTAGAAAAATGTAAATGAATGTTCTTAATGTAACAAGTGTATCTTTGATTTTCACTCTGAAGTCTTGAGTTTATAAACCAGTTTATCGGGAGGACAGGACCACCAGTTCTTAAGAAATACTACTCAATAGTCCAATCCAAGGTAAAATGTTTGTGTCTTTCTCAGCGCTTTGAACATGCTATTCTTCTGATTTGGGGTTTCCATTGTTGATGATGAATGGGCAGCTCTTAGCCTCATCACTGTTTCTTTGTAGGTCATTTCCCTTATCTTTTAGCTGCTTTTTGTTCTTGGTGTTCTTAATTTTCTATGATTTGTCTATATGTGGCTTGCTTTTTATTTGTCCTGCCTAAGATACTTTGCACCTTATTATGGATTTAAATTTTTTATCATTTCTGGCAAATGCTCAGCTCTCCTCTCTCCAAATATTGTCATTTCTCTGTTCTCCATATCTGTCCTTCTGGGATGTCAATTAGCCAGACGTAGAACTGCTCATTCTATTACCTGTATTTCTTAACCACCTTAATATACTCCATCTCCTTGTCTTTCTATGCTGCATTGAGTGATTTCTTTAAATCTCTCTTCCACTTTGCTAAGTAACTATTTAGTTGAGTCTAATCTTTTGTTTTACCATCAGTTGAGTTTTTTATTCAACAGTCGTATTTTTCATATCTAAAATTTCTACTTAAATTTTTTCTAATCAAACTTGTCATTCTTGCTAGTTTCTTGTTTTATGTTTCCAATTTTTACTTCATTAAACATGTTATAACTCTTTTGAGTTTTGCTAATTCGGATACCTAAAAGTTTGGAATGTGTCTTTTGTTGTGTCTGCTGACTCTCCCTCATAGTGACTTAATTCCACGTATGTTTTTTGTAAATTAATTTGGTTGCAACTTTATTTGGTTAATCTTAGTCTGTGGGAATCCAAAATCAGGATTTGCCCCTGCTCAGACCTGGGCACATTACCACCCAGCAACCACTTTCACCCTATTTTAGAGTCTTGGTTTCATACAGAAGTCTCAAGTTCAGCCACTACCCCCAAATCAGTCTCCCCTCAATTGCAGTGCTGATACAGCATCTACTGGAAGCTTACTGCATCATTCTTTGGTTCTAGCTAACTTTTTCAGGGTGGACGAGCATAGTATGTATACTCTTTTACTTTTCAGCAAATATTCAGTTCCTCATCTCCAAGAGGGATAAATTTTTCTGCCCCAGTAATGTTGCACTTGACTGTGTAACTTACTTTGTCCAATGGGATATGAGCAGA